TTTATTCAGTCAAATAAATTATAAAGAAAGTAAAAGTGTTTTAGCCAATCAGTGAATGGTTTATGGTCAGAGTATTTTCCTCCTGAGCACTGTTCAATTACACTTTTTAAAAATAATTCCTCAGGCACAATTTTAAAAACAGTGCCTTGATGCTGCTCACAGTTAGCACAGCCACTCTGTAAAATATAAAACACAGATAAACTAAACCTAAAACACTTTAAGTGTTTTTGTTTTCCTCATGATTTTCACAATGAAAATAAAACAATGTTATATTTGAGTGTGAAAATGAAATAAATACATAATTTTATGTTTTATTTTGAAGAACAAAATTAAAAAAAGTTTTGTCCCCTCATGTTCTGTTTTTCTCACGTGTAGAAAATTACTAAAATAGTTTAGTCAGAGATAAACAAACAAACAAACAAACTGTAAGTTTTGTTGATGTGTTAAAAAATCAACACACTGAAAATATTTTATTGTTTTCCGAAGACCTAAATGCCTCAAAGTCCACAATATACAGTATTTACTCATTGCTATAAAGTATCAGAATTTATTGAACTGTAATGTTTATATATATCGGTAAGGTGGCTCAGTTGGTAGAGCTGATGCCTCTCAGCAAGAAGGTCACCGGTTCAAATCCTGGTCCGGGGACCTTTCTGGGTAGAGTTTGCATGTTCTCTCCGTGCATGCGTGGGTTTTCTCCGGGTACTCCGGCTTCCTCCCACAGACCAAAAACATGACTGTTGGGTTAATTGATAACTCTAAATAAGACCAGGGCTGGGGACCTTCCATCATAAAGGACAATTGGGGCAGCTGTGGCTCAGTGTTTAGGGGAGTCATACTCCAGTGAGAGAGTTCGTGGTTTGATTCCAACGTTATTTAGTCACTTAAGTGTCCTTGGGCAAAACACTGAACCCCCCACTGTCTCTGTGTGCCTCATCAGTGTATGAATGTGATTTAAGAACTGATTAGTCTCCATAGAACGATCTATCCAGATTAGCTTTGTAGAGACCTATGATAGAGGGTAAATAAATGTACATATTGTAAAAAGCTTTGAGTATCCTGGCTGGATAGAAAGATCAGTTATTATTATACCGTAACAGTACATTTATTCTCATCTTTCTGCTGCAGAAATTCCAAGGACTTTGTAATTGTTTTTGATGGCTGCACTCCTCCAACGACACTCTTCTGTTGTCAGTAAAATCTAAAAACTCAGGTTCTTTTCATGTTTGGTCAAGGTTACAAGGAACCTCTTCAGAGGAGCTAATGAGCCACGAGGCCCCGGAGCCACAAGTTGAAGACCTCTGGTTTAGGGTTGGGCACCTTGGTGGGTGGTCAGGGTTCGGTTATAGCTGTGAATGGAAGTCTATACAAAACCCAAATAAGGATATAATTGTGTGTGTGTGTGTGTGTGTGTGTGTGTGTGTGTGTGTGTGTGTGTG